GTTATTTTACTCTTTTATTGGTTTGAATAATCTTCGGTATATAATGATTGCTGTTTTTCAGTCAATCTTAGATGTCACCTAAAGTAATGTAAGGTTTGAATCATAGCAATAAGTGTTTAATGCCAGTGATCATCATTAATAAGAACGTAGGGACACAAGTTTTATGTCTTAAAATTGTAAATCAATTCTAATGTTTTTAAATAATCAGGGTGTGAATCCCCTCCATATTTATAAGCAATGTTGAGAGCTTCTAAGTAATAAGATAATGCTTTTGCATGCTCCTTCATGTTGTGGTATATAAAACATATGCATTGCAATGATTTAGCAACATCTGGATGGGGACTGTCTTTATGAATGAGTCTTTGTATTTTCAGATTTTCTTGATGATATTTAAGTGCTTTAGTCCTGTCACCCATGCCATCATACATATTGGCTATGTTGTTAAGTGAGGCAGCAATATGTGGATGGGGACTGTCTTTGTGGATTAGTCTATTCATTTTCAGACTTTCTTGATGATAGTCAAGTGCTTTAGTCTTGTCTCCCATGTCATCATACAAATTGCCTATGTTGTTAAGTGAGACAGCAACACTTGGGTGGGGACTCTCTTTGTGGATTAGTCTTTTCATTTTCAGACTTTCTTGATGATATTCAAGTGCTTTAGTCTTGTCTCCCATGTCAGCATACACAGTACCTATGTTGTTAAGTGAGGCAGCAACATCTTGATGGAGACTGTCCTTATGGATTAGTCTTTCCATTTTCAGACTTTCTTGATGATATTTAAGTGCTTTAGTCTTGTCTCCCATGTCATAATACACACGACCTATGTTGCCAAGTGAGCCAGCAACATCTGGATGGGGACTGTCTTTGTGAACTAGTCTATTCATTTTCAGACTTTCTTGATGATAGTTAAGTGCTTTAGTCAGATCTCCCATGTCAGCATACACACTACCTATGTTGTTAAGTGAGGCAGCAACATTGCGATGGGGACTGTCCTTGTGTATTAGTCTTCTCATTGTAAGACTTTCTTGATGATATTTAAGTGCTTCGGTAAATTCTCCCATCTTTTTATACACATTGCCTATGTTGTTTAGTGATTCAAAGACCCCATATATATTATTGATTTTTTTGCTCATGTTCAGACTATCAGTATGATGTTGCAGTGCATCTAAGTAGCACCCTTGTGATTGATACAGTAGACCTATTGCCATCTGTGCGGAAACTATTTCCCACTCTTTCTCGCCTTTGAAGTTTTGAAGTGTTTTTAACTCTGTTTGATATGCATGTAGTGCCCTCTTGAAGAAGAAAATGTTCTCATATAATTGTGCTTTAACTGCATTGCTTTCTTCGATGTATCTCTTGTGATATGCCCAGGTGCCACTCACATTCAAGTTTGTTCTGAGGAATTCACACCAAGGCATAAATGTATTAAAAAATCGAATAATTGCGGTGAAACTTCTGACCGGCATCACTTCTTTTGCAACATCATCATCTTGAGAGTCAATTGGTAAAAATGATATGAATTCTTTTTGTTGTTGATATCTTCCATAGACCATGTGTCTTAGGTTTATAACACTACAAACCATGATTTGTAGATCTTTTGTCGCCCCTTCAGAAAGGATACCCTTCCTTCTCAACTCTCCTAGCACATCTAGAGGTGCAAACGATGTGCAACCATGCATGAGCTTCAGAATATTGATAGTGATTGTTGCAAACCTGTATATATCATGCTTTGTATGAATCTTTTGAGTGAATGATTTTGATGACAGAGGTTTCTTACTGTTTTTTTCTAAGTCTTTCTCCAGTGTTTTTATTGCTCGTTCTCTTCCTATAGTGATGTCTGGATTAGTTGTGGATGGTGATGATAATATAGAATGTACTTTTTCATTATATTCATTCCATAAGGCAAATTCTCCAGTTATGAGAGTTGATGTCATAAGAACATCACTAAGGTGGTAACCTTCTTTAAGTGATTCATCTGTAAACTGAAACTTACTCATTTCATCGACAGTCATGATAAGTTCAAGTCTTGGAAGTTTCTTGGGATCTTTTCCTGATTTCCTACCAATGGCTGTCTTGCTAGCAGAAGGGTGTGTCCCATCAAATGAAACTCCTCTTGTTGTAATGTTGTCCCAATAGTCATTGTCTTTCATGTCAGGTGGAAGATAATTATTGAGGTCTGATATAACAGGTATGTCTAAGTTGTTTAAAATGGTTTCCCCGAGATTGATAACCTTTAAATGGATATAATATGCTATCATACGCAATTGCATTTTGATTTGATCAACTGGTTTATCTAAGGGATCAAACAATATTGCCCACTCAAGATCTGAATAGGCAGTGACCTCTTTTCGGGATAGGGAACCAAGTGCTAGGAATGCAAACTTACAATCAGGGTGTCCTAAAACAGAAATGCAATCATTGATTATAGACTTATAAAAATCTAACAGCTTAAGTGTAAGTTTAATATAAAACAATCTGCTGTGTTTTATTGTGTTGTCTTCATCTTCATTTTTCATTTCTGTTGTCACATCATCAACCACCATGTACTTTTCGATGATGTCATTTACTGTTGTGTTTGAGTACTTTCGAATATTTTCAAGAGTGTCGCAGTATTTCTGTGTTGTAGTTTTTGTTGATAGTTCGCAATGATTTCCAGCCCAGCACTTCTTTACAAAGTTACTTTCTATAAGCTGAAGCTGTTCTTCAATGTGTTCTAGGTCATGCTCAAGAGCTGTGTTTGTGCCATCAGTTTGTTTTCTAATCACTTTCTTAATTCGACATTTGGCTGCATTATATAATGCACAGGACCAAACGTAGTGTTCATACCAGATATCAGAGGTCTCTGCTGATTTAATATACTCTTGTCCAAGTTGACACATGAGGTCTGCCTGTTCTTTCAACTCAGATTGTTGGTCACATGCTTTTATTTTGCAACCAAGTTCATACATTTCTTTTGTTACCTCTGAAATATGAATATTTAATGTTTAGTACTCAATTTTCTTTAAATTATCCTTACTGTACTCTTATATCAATGTTTCCTTGAAAATATATATGATTCGATTGATATGCAGAAAAGCTAATTTAGCCAGGATTCAAGGATATTGTTAGCATTTTATGTAAATTTAGGTTCACAAGATCAACATTGAGTCATTCATTCAAGGTCCTTCAGGTATTCTCATAACCTCCCTGCCTTAGTCATAGTATTATGTTGTATGATCATATACGATTTGTAAAGTTGGTGATGGCCTGAATGGCATTGAAAATAACAAGCAATGATTAGATGGAACATGTTCATAAGACATCTAATATAAATATCATGCTTTTAAATCATAAGAAATAATATTTGGATGACACAAAATGTTGCCAAACCTTGCACAGGGCCTTCAATTCAAAGTTTTGAAAAATGACATATATTTTATACAAAAAAATTGTTAATTCACCTGATTTCTTATTGGTTTGTGGGCCAGGGTTTTTCTCCACTCCTGCTCTTACCAGTAACACTTTTATGAGCCGTAGCATCAATGCTAGTTGTCTTGGAGATCTAACAATTGGTAATGAACAGAATGTCCTATTTTTATGGCCTCCACCAAATGTCCCTATGGCCACTCTCCACTGTTGAACAGAATTCCCCATGTTCTTATTTGGAGTTTTTGATATTTTAGAACATCATTTATATTGCAAACCAGTCATCAGTTTATTTCTTCTCAAGTTTTGGCTTTAAATTGTTATGTTATAAAGTCATTGCTTTTCAATTTGAAGAGTTTCGTTTTGTTGCTTGATTTAACTTACATTTTGTGCACATAGCCAGAGATTAGGCAGGCAAATGCCTCGCCAAAATTCTACTGAAAATGATGTCCAATATAGCATTACATCCTCTGTTATCTACGAGTTATTAAAAATTGCCTCATTTGTTTCAAGTCCCTGTCTACGCCCTTTCGTTTAAACAAATTCATGTTCTCCTTCTCGTTTGTCTCAGTGAGTGCAATTCAATATTCCTTTTTTACATGAAGTTAAGTTAAACCCTGCCTATTGAGACCATTCACAAAATCAGAAATTCATAAAATATTGAATGCCAAGTAAATAAAATGAACAAATAACAAACTACTTTCAACAAGTACTTTTCAAGATTGGGGTAACCTTTGTATAAAACATTTCTATGCATCCATTGATCTGCATTACTGTTTGCCCACCAAAATATGGCGGTAACCAAAATACAGTACAAAACAATGACGAGCAGTAAACAGCCTTATATGGAATGAAACACCTTGTGATATCAAAAGCTCAAAAATCATCCCTGTTCTTAAAAGGTCAAAAGATTATTATGTAATCTGTAATCGGAGGAGTAGTTCTTTGAACTATTGTAAAATGTCAACAGATGTTATCAAGTCTTACTATTTTATAATGTGATCTTGAAATTATATATTCTGTTACTTTTCACATTTTTATTATCGTTATGCACCTGTTATTATAGAAGGGACTTTTAACCATTTCCATTAAAACACTTTTCTCCATTATGTACAATATCATACTTTACACAATTCCATGTACATATCTCATAATACATGGTGTCCAATAAATAAGGTGAAAGATATTGTAACTTTCTTAATATTGCACCAATCTTGATGACATTTTCAGAGTTTGTAGCCCAAACCTTTTTACCTTTATTCTGTGAGTTTCTTGTGAGTTCATGCAAATCTTTTTAGGTACCGTATTATCACTAATGGCGCACAAACTCCAATAAATGCACACCCGACTTTGTCATTTGAGACATCTCCTCCAAGAAAATTTGGGAGATGCACTGTGTGTATTAGAGAGAAAACAGTATACCTTGTTTGTTCTTGTAATGATTCCTGTTTTGTTATTAACATTTAAATCTTATTCCTTGTTCATATGTTTTCTAGGAGAATCTTTTTTTCGGAAACTCAACCTTTTAATGCCTTCTTAATTAACCATTTTGAATTAGCTGGCCTATAATAGTAATTTTGTACATGTGTTTTTCCAGGAGAGTCAGGCTTGGGGAAATCTACACTTGTCAACAGTCTTTTCCTCACAGATCTCTACCCCGAGAGACTTATACCAACAGCTGCAGGTATGTAAATTTTTGAACACCCCTTGTTATTTAAAAAACAATTCAAATATTTAACTTATTGATCAACCCTCATAGAATTTAAAAAAAATAAGAGTTCTTGAACTGCCCTTGTAAATAAAAGAAGATATTATTTTCGCATCTACAGCTTTTTTAAGAACCTCCAATATATTTTTGTCTTTACATTCAAATTTATACTGATTATTTTGTATTATGTACCAAAAGCAATGAATTAATAGCAATATATCTATGATATCAGATATACATGTATGTACACATAATAAAAATGTATAGCTTCTTTTTAGCTAAAAGAGTGTTTGCTAGACCAGAATAAGAATTTATTTCTTCCAATGAAATAACTACAGTATTCATATATTCATATATTCATATTCAGATTTCTATGAGAGGGAAAATATGGTAATTTTATTGACCTGAGCATAAAGGAGATGAAATTGTGAAATGTTTGAGCCAATTTCACTGTTCTGACATTTACTACTTGAGATGTATGACAATGAAGTCAAGTTAGGAATACTCAAGAATATGGGTTCATAGATTACTTTATTGCTGGGTCAATTTTGCAGCCACTTGAGGGGGGAGGGCTATTATTGCTTTAGGGGGGTCTGGTAACTACCCCACCCCTCTTTACTTCACAATTTTTTTACCTTCCATAAAATCTTGATGCCTATGTAAATAATAGAACATGATTCTTAAAGTATATTTGCAGTAAATAAATGAAAAATAAAAAGATATGCTCAATATTTATATTTAATTAAACTGTTTTGAGACCATATTTCATGTTGAAAACAGTCCCTAACTCTGCAATTCATGTATTATATTATGTTCTGTAAAATAAAGGAATTATTTGATTAAAACAATTACTTTGAAGATATTCAAAATAATTCAGGATTTATGAAATAGATTGTTTACTTAGTGTTGAATTTCAGAAAAGATAAATAAAACTGTAAAGATTGAGACATCGTCAGTTGAGATTGAAGAGCGTGGGGTGAAATTGAGGTTGGCGGTCGTAGATACCCCTGGATTTGCTGACGCAATTGATAATAAAGATTGGTATGTGATGATGTCATAATGATGTCACCAAATTATTGTTGTATCGTTGTAGGGCCTTGTGTACTTGTATTCCCTAAAATAAGTAATAAAAAATTATGAAATCATGAAAAAAAGAAATTACCCATAATGCAATCTGAATTGAAGATCTTATCAGACGTTCATATTGCATGTTTTGATTCAAAAGAACCACATATGTAAAAACCTTACAACTTTTCAAGTTTGAATTGACCAATATTAATTGTCACACTCACTTATTTTGAGGAATACAGGTACATTATTGTTATATACCATTTAAAAGCCATGCTCGTCCCATATATGGGCATATAACACATTTTAGAAAATAAGTGCATGCTAGGATGAATGAGGAACCTTCCTATAATGCATCATGAATGACATTATTTTGGACAGAATGGTGCATCCTGGTCCATGCATTCACCCTCTTGTTTTCAGTTAAGATCGAAATGGATGTCTATCAGTAATTTTCTTTTAATGTGTTAAATGGCCATAGGAGTTAGTATATCTCTTTCTTGTCATGTTCCTAAGCTTAATATGTATTAATTGCTGCTTTTTTCAGTGATTCATTCAAGTTAACTGTTAAATTGCTCAAAGTAGAAAATTGGCTTTTTCATGTAATACCCGGTCTGTTACAACCTGTGTTCTTTGTCAGGACTAATCTTTTCAGGGGAGGGGCATTTATTTTTTATCAGGGGAGATTCTTATAACACATATAAAGGCTTATTCACACGATGTATTAAGAGGTCCGCTAGCTTATGACTCCCATAGCATGGCTTGCCCCGTAATATGCATCTAGGTGCATACATCATCAATTTGATTTGCATTACATGTATAGCATGCCTCCCTATTTCAGAGAAGATAAATAGGACTGTAAAAATTGATACGTCCTCTGTGGAGATTGAAGAGCGGGGTGTTAAATTACGTCTCAATGTCGTAGATACACCAGGTTTTGGCGATGGTTTAGAAACAAGGGAGAGGTAAAATGGCTAGAAAATAGTCCCCCTATAAGTAGTTCCAGCTCTGCTAGCTAGCGTGGTCCCAGTTGCCGTGGTTGCATATTAATCTAGATTTGAGAATTTGGATTTATTTTGGAATTTTTCATTCAAAACGTTTAATAACATGTGACTTTGAGATATTTTGAAAATACTAGGAGGAGATGCCCAGTGATTTGCAGAAGGCACTTAAATTATTTGATCACATGATTAAAAAAAGTTGAACAATGTGTTTAGTGAACAGGTCAGTATTCCAGGATTACCCCAGAATGTAATTGAATACATTTCTGATATACTTTCTCTCACCCAAAATTTTAATCAAAGATATATTGATTTTTGCCAAATGGAAAGTTGCTTCAATCAATGTATATTTTCAAAATTATATGAACTTTTACCCCCACCCCAATCAAAATGTAATTGATTGTTGATTGACCTAACCTCTTTTTCTCGCTATAGTTTTTAATTTTTTTAAATGGGAAATGATAAAATTATAACTGCATTAAGTCAGAAATAACAACCAGAAATAACAAAAAATTGTTCCACTGCCTTGTATTGCCTTATATAGGCATAAGGGTATGTCAGTCACCACCAATGGGATTTGCTTCAAGATAGTGCCCTGTAATGATGGTTGTGCATCTCCTCTGTTTGAGCAAAGCATGGCATGATGGGTAACTCCCTCCTTTGTATCAATTCACTATATTGGGAAAATATTACGAATTGATATATCTGCATGACTTAATGATAAACAATCATATTGCAATCACGTTTTTAAGAGAGAAGAGCAAAATAAACACTATACTAGACTTGTATCAACTAGTTATTCCTACCGTATCTCCCCCCCCCTACTACCTACACTCCCCCACCACCTTACACCCTGGACACTCCATATCTGGCAGTAATATAAAAAATTGGTGTACTTAATACTAATTTTATGTTTAATATAAAGCCCTTATGTTCTTCATTTATATTTTTATTTCCAAAAGTGTTTTACTTGAGTGCATATACATAATGTATGATAGGTCTAAATCATACATGTCATACAAGTCCAGGAGTTCTGATTTCATATCAGGAAATGTCTTCATTTTGAAGGTTGATTGGAAATACTTCTGAAAAAGTCCATTTTTATCTTAAACCGTCTCCTTCTATATTATATTATATTATCAATATATGTTTATCCTGATATTTCAATGAAGAGTTAATGTAAAGATAAGACCTTAGATGATAAGTACACAAACTTGAGACTACCATAATACCACAAGAGCACCATAAGTACCATTGCATACCATAAGACCATAATAGTACCATAACAGTACCATTAGAACATAAGTACCATGATACCATAAGTACCATAAGAGTAAGATCACCAATCTTTTTAATGCCTTGCAAGCCTGTCATATTTCAACTAACATTATACCATATAAACCACTGCACAATAGTATGAATGCATATGTAATACAGTGAAACCTGCTTGAGGAAAAACTGATGGGAAGATCATTGTTAATATTCACAGGTTTTACTGTTGTCAGTTAGATGCACTTTCATGAATGCTCCAGTTACAGATGATCATGTGTATAATGTTCACAATAGTATACAGTACAAAATAATGTTGATAGTCCCTTTTCTAATTTGAGTAGGATTTGATTTTTAAATTGTATCTCTTTTTCTCATTTATTCTCATTTATGGTTCACATGTTATTGACATTGGTATTAGTTCAGTTTGGTGTTTATGGTTTTCAAAAAGTTTATCATTGTAAAGTAATAGATCACTGGCGGATCCAGGGGATGGGCCCAAATGTTTTGTAGGGCCTTAATTAGTTGGCCTTTTTGGAGATTACTTGGCCATATTATAAAAAAATTGGCCTTAAAATTTCAAAACTGGGGCCCAATTTTTGGATTAAGGGGCCCAAAAATTTTTTCCACTGCTTTTGGATCCACCAGTGTAGATAACCATAATTCTGGGACACCCTGTACAGCTAATCTGCACTGTACTGCTCCTCTGAATGCTAGGAGCAGACATTTCCAGGAAGGAATAGAGTAGAAAATGTCTTGATCCCTGCATTTGGAGGATGTATTATACTAGAACTGTTGGCACAGTTATGGAGAATAAAGAAAGTCATTACATAGATGATTCAGCCGTAACTAATCCGCTGTGCTTCTCTTTAGTCCAATGATCTATGCCAGTATTGATGAAATGTCTGCAGATATTGTGATTACCCCAGTTCTTATCATCCATAAGAGGTTGAGACAAACATGGGTGTTTGGGCATACTTATTATGAACTTGAAGTTTGTATAATTTCCCAAAATAATTATATTCATTCAAAAGTAAAGCAATCAGCAAAGTAGGAAGTTCCCATGTTACCATTTCTTTTGAAATCATGGCTTGCTCTATTTAATAATGTTTTTGTTGAAATTTCATATTGATTCAGTATGATTTATTGCCTATTTGATTTGTTGTTTGATTTTTCAAATGTTGCCCTATGTGCTTGAGAAGGCTGGCTTTCACTATATCGATATAATTTATTCAATAGTTGAAATTTAATTAGAATTAAATCAAAGTGAAAATATTGGTGCTTTAGGTTGCAGAATGCCTTGCTGTGGCTGAATGGTAATAATACATAAACATTTCAGGCGTATGGTTGGTTGATTATACAGTCTTTGGCAAAGTCCGTTAAAATGCAACAATTTAAAACTACAATTTGGGTCTGTGCCTTTGACTGTTTGGTGCCAAATCTGAAACACAGCCTTGGTTTTTCCCCACAGTAGCTTATTCATGGGCTGGGGTTTAAATACAAGGATAGACCCCAGAAACAACCCCTTAATATGTTAAAACCCTCTTGTCAGCTTTCCCATTTTGTGCCCATGTGTTTATTTGATGTATTTGCAGTTTTCAGGTGTTGACTTTGCAATCTCCAAATGCATACCTCAAATATGAATAAAGAATGATGACACATGGATTGAACTCTTGAGGCCTGCATCTGGAGAGTGTGAATGTGTGGTTGAATTAACAAATCACTATTTGTTACTTGACTGTACTGTGAAATAATATAACTTTGTATGCATTGTATTTTAGACATTACTTGATTGACATTACTAAAATATTAGAATTTACTTGATGTTTTCTTGTGTGCATTTTAAGATTAAAATGAAGAATAAATCTTTCAGGAATGTTTGTCTTATATTGAATTAAATAGATGAAATTCATTGTATTTACAATATTCAACATTCCTCTATTCAAAATGGATTTTTTTTGTTTTGTTTTTTCAAAATTCAAAATGGAGTTGAATAATATTTTTGAAAGACATTTAATGCATAATTAAAAAAAAATTATACAAATATTTCATTCTATTGAGGTGAAACCTGTGCATCTTTCACAAGTGATATTCCCTGAAGCCTGGAGGGCTATGGGAACATTAAACTTACAGCCGGGGAATATCTCTTGGTCAGGTGTAGGACATAGGCCAACTAGAGAGTAACTATAGAGTGAGGAATATTCAGTTCAGAATATTTTTATTCAATACCAAATGTAGAATTTTACATGAGTTATGAACCGGTTGAAATATGGTACTTAATGCTATGTGATGTATTCAAACGTTTGTGTGATGTATTCAAATGGTTGTGTGATGTCATATAAACAATTGGATTATGTCATATTTCAGCTTTAATGCCATTCTCAGTTATATCGATGAGCAGTTTGAGCGATACCTCCATGATGAAAGTGGGCTTAATCGTAGGAACATCGTAGACAATAGGGTGCACTGCTGCTTCTATTTTGTAAATCCAGCTGGCCATGGGTATGTACGAGGGTTGTCCCAGAAGTAATGAACTATATGCTCTATCTTTCTTTGATATCATTCAATTCAGCTGAAATTTTATGTATCATAATTGAATTGTTATCTGTATTTCCTGAATTTTCAGCATCAGACATTAATGTTAAGCCTTAAAATAGTTGCTATAGCATGCATATCCTGTAGTTTAAAGGCAATATCAGATATATAATCATCATTTTGTCCCTGTCAAGTTTGATGATTGGTGGCTCTCTGAGACCCCCTCCTAAGACATATAATAGGAGATCTCACTTTAACACTGTGCTAGATTGTAAGATAATAGGACTGATATTCAGCATTTGCATTGAGATTGAAAAGTGTTCAAATTAGAAGAGAGGTGTTCAGATTTACAGGTTTCTCTGTATATTTATTTTAGGTTGAAACCTCTGGACATTAAATTCATGAAGGCCATCCACAATAAAGTGAATGTTGTCCCAGTAATCGCCAAGGCAGATACTCTCACCAAGCGAGAAGTTGAAAAACTCAAGAAGAAGGTAAAATTTAAAGAGTTATTATTGTTACACTACAAGGTGTTCTGGATGCTCTGATTATTTTCCGTTATACTTCAGGGTGCTCTGATTATCATTTTATGGTACACTATATGCTCTGATTATCATTTTATGGTACACTATATGCTCTGATTATCATTTTATGGTACACTATATGCTCTGATTATCATTTAATGGTACACTATATGCTCTGAGTATCATTTTATGGTACACTATATGCTCTGATTATCATTTTATGGTACACTATATGCTCTGAGTATCATTTAATGGTACACTATATGCTCTGATTATCATTTAATGGTACACTATATGCTCTGAGTATCATTTAATGGTACACTATATGCTCTGAGTATCATTTTATGGTACACTATATGCTCTGATTATCATTTTATGGTACACTATATGCTCTGAGTATCATTTTATGGTACACTATATGCTCTGATTATCATTTTATGGTACACTATATGCTCTGATTATCATTTTATGGTACACTATATGCTCTGAGTATCATTTTATGGTACAATATATGCTCTGAGTATCATTTTATGGTACACTATATGCTCTGATTATCATTTTATGGTACACTATATGCTCTGATTATCATTTTATGGTACACTATATGCTCTGAGTATCATTTTATGGTACAATATATGCTCTGATTATCATTTAATGGTACACTATATGCTCTGATTATCATTTTATGGTACACTATATGCTCTGAGTATCATTTAATGGTACACTATATGCTCTGAGTATCATTTTATGGTACACTATATGCTCTGGTTATCATTTTATGGTACACTATATGCTCTGAGTATCATTTTATGGTACACTATATGCTCTGATTATCATTTTATGGTACACTTTATGCTCTGATTATCATTTTATGGTACACTATATGCTCTGAGTATCATTTTATGGTACACTATATGCTCTGATTATCATTTTATGGTACACTATATGATCTGAGTATCATTTTATGGTACACTATATGCTCTGATTATCATTTTATGGTACACTATATGCTCTGATTATCATTTTATGGTACACTATATGCTCTGAGTATCATTTTATGGTACACTATATGCTCTGATTATCATTTTATGGTACACTATATGCTCTGAGTATCATTTTATGGTACACTATATGCTCTGATTATCATTTTATGGTACACTATATGCTCTGATTATCATTTTATGGTACACTATATGCTCTTGAGTATCATTTTATGGTACACTATATGCTCTGATTATCATTTTATGGTACACTATATGCTCTGAGTATCATTTTATGGTACACTATATGCTCTGATTATCATTTTATGGTACACTATATGCTCTGATTATTTTCTATTACACTTCTGAGTGCTCTGATTGATTTCTGTTATACTACAGGGTGCTCCAATATATTTTTGCAACCTGCAGATAAGGACAATTTTAGTCAAATCATTTTTTAAGGAACAACATGTATAATATTTTAAATCAATTTTATTTACTTTAAAGTACATTTTTGCTATTTTTAGGAAAAGAAGCCTTGGGACTGCCAGTCCATTTATTGATTAACAGACATAACAAATGTATTTATGTGTGAAATATATGCATATATTTATTGTATATTTAGATAATGGATGAAATTGCTGATAATGGAATCCAGATCTATACTCTACCAGACTGTGATTCAGATGAAGATGAGGATTATAAAGAACAATGCAGGCAACTTAAGGTATGGACTTAGATAAAAGATAAGGAGTCACCTGTCACATTCACTTTGGTTGAACTTCAGCAGAGAAAGTCCTAGAAAAGCAGGGAGAAAATTACCCTTTGCATTCGTTCGACTTCACTTCTTAAAAGAGAGCTTCATCTTCTCTCTTTCATTTTACAATAAATCTCTGATCTCACAGAGCCAATCAGAGTTGTCGAAATACGGACGACTTCCTATATGGTCATTTCCTCTAACATCCCCGCATAGTTAATGAGCCTGTATTTAGCATGTGTTCCTTCCACTTTGCTGATTGGTTGAGAAAGGATCAACGTAGTAGATTTGAAATTATTTATTACCCGGGCTGTCACAGGCACCAATCTTCGGGGCGGGGCTGCTAAACTGAAATATAGTCTATACTAGGCAGAGTGTAGTTTATAACTAGACTCTCCGCGCAGAGAAAGAGAAAAGTGATATACAATGTACTGTAGATAAGATATTTTGCATTGAATATAACAAGCATTCATTTACAACCAGTTGTGTGCTTGAACAAATATTAAACAAACAGTTTTTGACATTTTCAGGCAAGATTGAAATTAGAATTTTGCCTTATAAACTCAAGAATCACCCTGATTATGCAGTAATTACTTTTGTTTCCAGGGTGCCATTCCATTTGCTGTGGTAGGATCTAATGCAGTAATTGAAGTGAAAGGTCGTAAGGTCAGAGGTCGTATGTACCCATGGGGTGTCGTTGAAGTTGAGAATCCTGAACATTGTGATTTCATCAAATTAAGGACGATGCTGATGTTAGTTTTTTAGTTTTTTTATTATTTGACTTGTAATAGTGTTCCAACTTTTTTTGTGGATGATGTTCGGCATTTGGTGGTTGGCATCTGTAACAAATGGCAGGTGGTGACATTTTGCATTTTTTACATTTTGCATGTCAATACATTGTTATACTTATACAATCGGCTAAACACTCAATGGGAAGAACTCATTGTCCACATAAGTTATCTCTGTTACCACTGTTCAATAGATTCAATGTGGGGAGGAATTAATTCATCTGTGATAACTTCGAAGGAAACATCAACAAATCAAGAAGACTGGAAGGCCATCCTTTATGTTACTTTGACAGTATGTTGACTGTATGTCAAAGTAACTTGATGGGAGTTGTGTAAATTTACTTTATTTCTATCCTTTTCAATCCACTTTTGTACTTTTCATTTTATGCAGTTTAACATTTTATAATGTATTTATAATTTTAGTACCCATATGCAGGACTTACAGGAAGTCACCCAAGAGATTCACTATGAAAACTTCAGATCTGATAAACTTGCCAATGGAGGAGGAGGGGGTGAGAGGACTCAACGGAAGAGCAAGTCAGTATTCTGTTCAGCATACATCCTCCCTCTTAAATTTTGTTTAATTTATTATAAATTCAACCTTTGTTTCATGTTAACCTGGTGAGTTCTCAAGACTCAAGAAATTCAATATTATTTGATTTCACCATGGTAACATTGTGCAAACCAATCAAATTTCATGATTATGTTTTTGAAAACTGGGCTCCTGACCCGGGGGGTTCACTATATATAAACCTTGACGGGGATCCTCGGCGCATGTGGGGTACCTTTTTCAACGTTTGGTATGGCAATGGACCCATATTTTAGGATTTGGTATGGGAATGCCCGGAAATTTCTGACTTCTGAGGTATGGCAATGGTCGGACTTTTGCTCTTCTGGTATGAGAATGGTCGTTGTAGATACGTTACCTAACATTCGTGGTATGGCATTGGTCCAGTAGTTGCAAATTTGAAGTTGTTTTGGATCGTTTCCCGAAGTATCTTCTTTTCCAGGGCCTTCTTCAACTTTTGAATTTTTGCCCTTGGTCCCATATTTGGACATTTGGTATGGCATTGGTCCTACATTTTGACATTTGATATGGCATTGGTCCCATAATTGGGCATATGGTATGGCATTGGTCCTATATTTGGACATTTGGTATGGCATTGGTCCTATATTTGGACATTTGGTATGGCCTTTGGGCGTTATTTTGGTTGGTATGGGAACATATTGAAATTTGACAGATTGGTATGGGAACATATTGATATTTGAGGCTTCAGCCTAGGACCCCCGTCGAGTTTTATATACAGTGAACCCCCCGGGGCTCCTGAGTAAATCCTCCACAATGTTATGTTCTCATGAATACAATAAAAGAAATAGACGTAAATTCACATTCACATTTTTTTAGTGTTCCGTTATGCACAGCTATGGATAATGTTCAGGTATCAACATTTGTGGAAAAATGAAGTTTATTTTGGTATCATTTGACCCTTCCCGAAAATTTAAAATGTTGATTTGTCTTTCACTTGAATATTAAAAATATCAACAAAATTCGCAAATGAAACTATCATTTACCCCCTCCCCCAAATGAAACTAACTTTGTTATTCCACAGCTGTTGATAATTAAACATCATCCCTTGTAAACATTTCTGTACATTTTGATTAAAATTGTGATTTATTTGTGCAATTGTTTTATATGGGATTTCATGCTGATATGTTCTTCATTGCATCTCCAGTATTTTGACGTACGTATCAAGCATGTTGTTACCGTTCAATTTTATAATTCACCATATAAGGCCATTAAATGTCTTCTGGTCTGTCCACATGGACCATTGGCGTTTAGTTGGCTGAATATGTTATATTACATATAAGTTAAATATGAATGTTTCAACTAACCTTAATTAGTATGAAAAGCTAATAAAATTCAAATCTTCAATTTTGTGTGCTATTAAGGTGGATAATATTTACTGGGATTATGTCATCTAGATTTGAATCATAGTTTTTAGTCTTATTGTTATACACTAAGTGAAACTTCTATATGGTACAAAATAAATTAGCCTTGGGAACATAATATATTATTGTATATCCATCTCTTCAATGGTTAAATTGGAATCCCAAATATTGTATCTTAAAATTAGATCAAAATATGTACTTGGTGAAATTATAGCTTAGACTAGTCTTTTAAGTTTCATCATTTTTTGTGCATTTATCAGTAATTTGTTGTCATGTTGTCACCTAATGTTAGATTTATGATTTTATAGTATAAAGTCTTCTTAATTTGCTTGACTGCATTTTGTAAAATACTTTGTACACAGTAGCTCAAAATTTTGTTTAGTGCACTTGACAGCATGCAGGCAAATATAAGGGAGTAAAAGAGGGGTAATACCCCACAGTTCAAAGATGAACCTATCTCTATATATCTAGAGATTCATGGGGATAGGTTCATCTATGAATTGTGGGTATTTCCTCCTCTAAGGGAGTGTTGAGTTGTAGGGGCATATTGGAATCATGTTCCTAGATGAGCATGCCCATATTTGGTATTTGGCATGCCACATTGGTCACTTTAGTGGAATAGAAAAATATTTGTAAGAAATTTAAGCATATTCAGCACCAGCTCCTCAATTGGACATGTTAAAGCCTGTGTTTGGAGATTTAAAAAATTCTTTGAATTACTCATTTTCTGAGCTGATATTATCGAATGAAAAGTAATTTCAAAAAATACACAAACTTTAAGAGGTGATCTAATTGGGAGTCAGGATTTCAATACATTTTTGAGGAGTGTAACTCTGAACTTGAGAGAATAAACTGCCAAAGAAACATGAGAATGGGACACTTAAAGCATGAGAAATAAAGAACAAAGGTGAGGAAATCACCCAGAATTCATAGTTGAACCAATCTCCTTGTAAAGATAATCTAGAGGCACATCTTTGTATGGAGGCAGATTCATCTATAAATTCTAGGGTTTTCCCCCTTTCAGAACATGAAGGACATATGCCCAAAAGTACATATATCCTGATGCATCCTTTAACATATTGAGCAACTCATTTTTCCAAGTTCATGCCATTGGTAGTTGGGCAGCTGTGATTTTCGATCCCTTGATTTGCCTGTGTAGATGTCAGTAACCTCTTTTATTGCTTTCAAAATGTATCTTTAAATTATGAATGAAATTAGACAATGCATCTATATAGTTATTAGTGCATATGGGGTCATAGCTTCTGGTTCATAATTCATATTTAATCAGTTAATTTTTTCCTCACATCAATCTCTGGATCCAATGCCCTTATTTGGGAGCATGCCCATATTTAGGCATATTCTCTCTCTTGGGTCACACATTATTGTTCAAAGCAAAAGTCATGATATTGGAAAAGAATATACAGTTATCAAATTTTGTGAATTGTGAACCAAAATTTTTGTAAGAAATGGCCCTTGCATTGAACAGTCAATGTTATCGCTATAATATGTTTTATAAAACATTCAGATATAGTATATCACTATATAAAAGAATAATGATATGCTGCTTTCATGCAGATATGTTTAAAAGAATAATAATGATATGCTTTTCTCCTCTTTTCCATGCTTTTCTCCACTAATTCTATAAATGGTAAGCTATACTGGTGATGTGCCATGTTTGTGTTGTGACATAATATGTTGTGACATGATTTGGTGTGACATGTGCATAACAATGACTTGGGAATCTGCTGAAATAATTCATGGTTTTCACATTTTTGATATTTTCATCTTATACATTTGAAATACAGTGGGCCAAAAGGTTTGGTTGGTACAATTCAATTCTTTAAATATTCTTTGAATATTTCCAACAAATTGTTTATTTTTAATTTGTTGAAAACCATGAATGTTGCATATGGTAGTATAAAGATGTAGACCAACTATAGAATACTCTGATATAAATGCAATTATTTTCATTTCAATCAGGGATGGTCTGCCTCTTTATTGCATTTTGATCCTTATAATCTTGTAAAATGTATCGTCCCTCTGTCTTCTCTCTCTGTTTGCCCAATATTGCTTACAGGGAGAATTTGTTGTGAATGGAGGTGAGCACAAAGGCCTGATAAGAGGGGGGGATATCCCAGAATTCATAGAACCTTTCCCATGCTAAAGGTTCACCTATACATGGAGATAGGTATAACTCTGAATACTGGGGTGTTACCTCCTCTTGGGCTTAATGTAAGTTTTTATTAGGCCTCTGTGTTCCCCATTTCCTCTCATGCCCCTGTGCAAAAACAAATTGGGCATAGACTTGTTACAAGATATTGTATCTTCTTATCATTAAATATCTTTAATCTTTAAAGAGGTGACAGTCTTGACATATCTCTTAGATTATAGAATATTCTAGATCATAGAATATTCTAGATTATAGAATGTTCTAGATTATAGAATATTCTAGTTCCTCATTTAACATCTTTAGTTTTACATTATTGCATAGATAAAATGTTCTATTGAACTATGGGGAATCTGGTACATATCCCATGAAAATGTCATAATAGTCACTATCTACCCAGAATTCTTTGGGTATTTTAGACCATGGCCAAGGCTCTGATTGGTTGAACTATGACCAGATGACATTTGGATCATGGGATTGTTTTGCTTGGGGTGCATATCTAACATGAACTGAATAATATGACAACAAAAAGGTTTAAAAACTCTGAATTTAATACAATATCTTAAATCATATGACTTTATTTGAAATTAATTTTCAATATACATGTAGTTTATATCATACAACAGATCTTTTAATAGTTCTCCAATAATATACAGTATTTAACCCAAAATCAAAATTAAGTATTATATCCTATATATCCTTAGTATTTCCTCAGTTACTTCCCCAGATTTTTCCTTTTGATTGTATTTATCATTTTAATCATTCAATGAATTCACGGTATTATTGAAAACCTTTGTTAATCCTACAGATCCTTAGTATTTCCCTAGTTCCATTTACTTCCTTATATATCCACTTTGAAATATAATTAGGCGGTGTTGTGACTTACCATAACAGTGTGGGTCATAGGAATCTGTCACTCGACAATTGGCAATAGACTTGTGTTTTCACACTCGCCAATGTAAAATTACACTCTCCTCAGTGTTGCCGCTGAGGATGAATTATATGTATTCTGAAAGTTTTCTTATGAATAAAAATATTTAAAAGAAAGTAATATGTTTATGAAAGTACTTAAAATTTACTTTGTTCTATAATATTCAACAATGGCTAATTTCATGTTAGACAATGTGGCAAGGCACTTCAATTTTACACTCGACTCTAAATATTTACATCCGCCTGCGGCTACTGTCGAGTGGATATGACCCACACTGCCATAACTAACTCAAACAATCAGGAAATACTAACACCAAATCTTGGTATAATGGTAGTCTATTTAGTTTTTCCAGTATTTGACATTCATATCATCTATTATTCAAATTAAGGATTGGTAATTGCTTAAGTGTCATGATTGTTAATTGTAACATCCAATTCATTAAGTCTTTAATTACTGTATGTTGTTCAGTGTTAGGCCAAAACCACAGAGGACAACATTTAAAAACACACACAGATTCAAGAAATCAATAATTTTTTAAAATTGAAATTTTAAAATAGTAAAAACTAATCTTTTTACAATTAACAATAGTTCAATCTCTAGCGCAGTTGTATTTTAAATATAAAAATTGGCCCAAATGAATAAATGACATTGCTCAGTCAAGTCAGTTTTGAGCGTGTACTATTATCAACGAGAGTGTGACTATTTTATTAGTGTACATGTATATAATTTGTGCTTACTGTTTTATCTTATTGTTTGCATACAGTTCTTTGTCAATTTTAATGTAATGCATAATTCTTCTAATGTTTAGGTATCGCAATAAACTTGACAGTGTTGACAAGGAAGAAAAACTCTCAGAGAAGGATAGACAATTACAAGAGAAGGAAGCTGAGGTAGGTCAATCCCCATCCCCCAATCCCCCATCCTTAATTTGTGACATCATAACTAGAACTATCTGATTATATATTTTGAGTTATTTGATTTATATATGAAATAAAATATGAAAATTATCAAATTATTATAAGATTAATAAATTCATAATCCTTTAAAAATGTGATGAAAACTTTAATGGACTTCTATCCCATCCTCAAACTAACATTCATTTATGAACATGATATAGTCAATTAGTCATGCTATATTTAATTATTATGTCACCACCAAAAGTGGTGACATATTGTTATGGTCTCCGTTTTTTTATGTCACCACCAAAAGTGGTGACATATTGTTATGGTCTCCGTTTTTTTTGCGACGGCGTCCGGCGGTTGGAGGTTGGAGGTTGGCGTCCGGCGTCTGTAACAATTTCTTACAACTTCCTATAACTTAACAAATACTTTTTAGACTGACTTCAATTTTTTTCTAAATCATCTACATGTTCTCAGAAGTTCAAATCTGACTTTAGATTTGACATTTGACCTTCAATGACCTTCTCAAGGTCAAAAAGGTCTTTTTTCAACTTGCTTCACATTGACTAAATTTTTTTTCAAAATCATCTACATGTTCTCAGAAATTCAAATCTGACTTTAGATTTGACTTTAGATTTGACCTTCAAATCTGACTTTAGATTTGACATTTGACCTTCAATGACCTTCTCAAGGTCAAAAAAGGTAAAAAAGGTCTGTTTTCAACTTGCTTCAAATTGACTAAATTTTTTTTTCAAAATCATCTACATGTTCTCAGAAATTCAAATCTGACTTTAGATTTGACTTAAGATTTGACATTTGACCTTCAATGACCTTCTCAAAGTCAAAAAAGGTCAAAAAGGTCTTTTTTCAACTTGCTTCAAATTGACTAAATTTTTTTTTCAAAATCATCTACATGTTCTCAGAAATTCAAATCTGACTTTAGATTTGACATTTGACCTTCAATGACCTTGTCAAGGTCAAAAAAGGTCAAAAAGGTCTGTTTTCAATTTGCTTCAAATTGACTAAAATATTTTTTAAAAATCATCTACGTGTTCTCAGAAATTCAAATCTGACTTTAGATTTGACTTAAGATTTCACATTTGACCTTCAATGACCTTCTCAAAGTCAAAAAAGGTCAAAAAGGTCTCTTTTCAACTTGCTTCAAATTGACTAAATTTTTTTTTCAAAATCATCTACATGTTCTCAGAAATTCAAATCTGACTTTAGATTTGACATTTGACCTTCAATGACCTTCTCAAAGTCAAAAAAGGTCAAAAAGGTCTTTTTTCAACTTGCTTCAAATTGACTAAAAAATTTTTTCAAAATCATCTACATGTTCTCAGAAATTCAAATATGACTTTAGATTTGGCATTGGTAATTCAATGACCTTCTCAAGGTCAAAAAAGGTCAAAAAGGTCTTTTTTCAACTTGCTTCAAATTGACTAATTTTTTTTTTCAAAATCATCTACATGTTCTCAGAAATTCAAATCTGACTTTAGATTTGACATTTGACCTTCAATGACCTTCTCAAGGTCAAAAAGGTCTTTTTTCAACTTGCTTCAAATTTACTTAATTTTTTTTTCAAAATCATCTACATGTTCTCAGAAGTTCAAATCTGACTTTACATTTGACATTTGACCTTCAATGACCTTCTCAATGTCAAAAAAGTCAAAGAGGTATTTTTTCAACTTGCTTCAAATTGACGAATTTTTTTTCAAAATCATCTACATGTTCTAAGAAGTTCAAATCAAACCTTCTTAAGGTCAAAAGGTATTTTCCAACTTGCTTTAAATTGACCAAATTGTTTTAGGTGGTGACATTTTGTCATGTTAATGCCTTGTTTTCAGTTGCGGAGAATGCAAGACATGATCGCCAAGATGCAAGCTCAGATGGCTAAGCCCGCCCCAGCTCCCGCCCCCACGCAACCACAACAGAATGGTGCCCCACCAGCAGGGGTGAATAATAACACAACCAAACAGATCAAGACGCATAATGTATGATCGTAAGCTTCATGTGTAGAAAGGCTTGAGGAGGTTGGTGCTTAATATAACTAATATGTTTGATATCTCATAGTGAAAGTCTCAAATGAATACTTATGTCTCAACAAGTCACTGTTACACCCCCCCCCCATTTGATCAATAATTAGTCTATTATGGAGTACAATAATATTGATTTCAACTGGGTGCAAAGTGTTTTTTGGGTGGGTGCAAGCCTATTTTCAGAATCTTAGGTGGGTGCAAAGGTAAGATGGTATTTTATCCGGAAAAGGTTCATAAAATCCCACACTTTGAAATTGCTTGAAATTAATTTAGAATTATTCTTTTCTGTTCATATCAAATTAAATGATTTATAATATGAGATGTGAGATATCAAACAGATTTTCTTAATAATCTTACGTTTCCCTGTTTTCTGTTCTTAGTTAAGAACTAACATTTTAGTGGTAACGATAAAATGGAAAAATATTGCAAAATGATAATGCAATTTGATGTTCTTCAGGTTTTTCCATTTTGCTTTGGAATTGAGTTAGAATCACATTATCTTGGAACATCAGTACCTAAACATTGAATCCTTGGCTTCCCAAATCTGTTTTAAAAATATTCTTGAAATTGTATCTATTTTGAAAGGATGTTAACATATGGGCTTGAATTAACAATTCATTTATCTTTAAAGAGTATTAACAAATTAAAATTAACAAATTAAAATTTCATTGATTGAAATTAACATTCAATTGGTCTTTAAAGGGTTAACAATATTAAAATGTGGTTGAAGATTAACATGTGTTAGGAGGGTATATAAAGAGGGTGATTTTTGTTTAATCTTGAAGTGCTTTATAGTGTGACTACATCACAATGTGTTGTGTATAATTTTAAATAATGCTTGCTTTTCTGGCCAATGAGTCAGTGACTATGATTTTACCCTTGATTGGCCACCCTCATCAATCCTTGTGTGTCAGCCTCAACTTTTTCATTGTATCTGAAAGCTTGGATTGGAGGTTTATGGGGTGGTAAGCTTGCAAGCGATGTCTATGATTTTACACCGTGATGGGCCACCCTCATCAAACCTTAATAATCTTGTGTGTCAGCCTTAACTTTTTCATTGTATCTGAAAGCTTGGATTGGAGGTTTATGGGGTGGTAAAATGCAAGCGATGTCTATGATTTTACACTGTGATGGGCCACCCTCATCAAACCTTAATAATCTTGTGTGTCAGCCTCAACTTTTTCATTGTATCCGAAAGCTTGGATTGGAGGTTTATGGGGTGGTAAACTTGCAAGCGATGTCTATGATTTTACACTGTGATGGGCCACCCTCATCAAACCTTAATAATCTTGTGTGTCAGCCTCAACTTTTTCATTGTATCTGAAAGCTTGGATTGGAGGTTTATGGGGTGGTAAACTTGCAAGCGATGTCTATGATTTTACACTGTGATGGGCCACCCTCATCAAACCTTAATAATCTTGTGTGTCAGCCTCAACTTTTTCATTGTATCTGAAAGCTTGGATTGGAGGTATCGAGGATTGCAAATTTGCAAGCAATGTCTATGATTTTACAATGTGCTGGGCAACCCTAACCAAACCTTAATAATCTTGAGCTTCCTGAGCTCAATTAGATTTTACAATGTTGGGTCTAAATAATCAAAATACTTGTAGTATTGGCATTGTAGTTTGAATCAGTGTTAATATTTTGATGATTGTAGAATTAAACTTTATAAAAACATATTTCTTGAAACAGAACTTTATAAGAATTTAAAGAAGTTAACCTAATCCGTTTCTCATTGATCTGTTGTTAGATATTTTAGATTTTAATGGATGGAAATGTCTAAAATGCTATAAATATTTTTGCATAATAAAACCATTATTTTATTTTTTTGATTTTTCTCTTTCAGTGATGCCATAGTAACTCGTGAACAATGTAAACAAATGAAGTCAGGTTCTCATCAACAAACTTTATAATAATCCGATAGGAGTGCATAAATAGAAAACAAAAGTGTGGAGAATTCGTAAATTGAATCATAAAACATTTGATTTACATAATTAGCAGAAAACAAAAGAGAATGTTGTTACAAATGAAAAAATATGATTCTGGACATTTTCGGAATGAAATGAGTTCAATCAAAAGATATTGAAGAAAAATTCAAAAAATTCGAACTATTAAAGATAAAATTGAGAATTGTTCTAAATTTTATTTATGAATCGCAGCTAATGGCTGGTGAGGTAAGGGAGGTGCGTCTAATTGAGGCAGACAGTATTATTATAATTCTAGTACAATTCATGTATTAATACAGAATCAAAGTTAACATGTTTAGTACTTATTCCTGTGAAAGATGGCAGTCCGATCTGTCTCATGACAAGGAAAATATTGACTAACTTACAATTATATCATGACAAGAAGAAAAACCACAAAAATAGGGCTATATATGCTTACTTAAATATCACATGAACATATATACTGGATATGCTAACATTATAATAAAATTATTACGCTCAAACAGTATAAATATTCATTTTATATAATAATGTAATATCATATAACAAATGTGTACTATAATAAACTAATTCATGACATTACATCAAGGAGATACAAGGTCTATATATACATTATGGATATAACCCAAACTCATAATATTGATGTTAAAACAACACTACATCAATGTCATCTTGGTCGGAGGTTTCAGCATTATAAAAATATAAAACCTTGAACTTGTTTTAACTAACATTGAATAACATTTATAAAAAACTTATGGATATAAAAGTGACACATGGATACATAAAACACATGGATATATTACATGGATATATAAAACACATGGATATATAATTAACATTGATCGACATGGATAAAGACTATAACAGCTATTAATATTTACTTTGCATTTCATTTGCATTATTTGCAATGCGGATATCATATGGATATACCACATCAATTGGATACATAAAATGGATTAACTGTACATTAAACATCTGGCATTGTGGATATGCCAAGTTCTTAACACCTGGATATTATTAATACACTACTGTATTGATAACAGAGCCCATCATTTGGATATAAACACAACATACCTTATTAGCTATCACCTCTTATCTAATCATCTAATAATGGACATGATACACATAAAACATCTTATTGGATATCTTACAAGCAGTTATCATATGGATATATATTAAAATAATATCACAAGTATCATAATTTGGATATATATGCATACACATAAGAGCTGCTATCACACGGATATGTACATTGTACATATTGTGTACATAACCCATATGTATGTTATATCTGATTTTCAAGACATTTATGAACAATGAATCTAATGTAATTAAGCATTTATCATCTGCAGTCTGAATGTAGACTGGGTTTACTTGTACAGTATTGAATTTGAATATCATGCCATTTTAACAACTGGAGATTTCCAACTTGAACAGCATGATCTTATCTGTGGGTTTCAATATAATGATACCGCCTGTTAGTGTCCATATTTTACACTCTTGAGACCATGGGCTGTTTAATGAGAAATGATGATCCGTGCGTGTACAATTCTAGGCTTTCAATATCACTGTTTCCGTATTTCCCTGTGTTTTCCAACATACATTACTTCTGTGCCATTTTGCTAAGGAAGTAGAGAAAAGGGAAAAGACTTGTTATAGGGGAAACAAAGACATGTTGCAGCTTTAAGTTCATGTTGAAGTTGAGTCTCATTTTGTTTGAAATTGAGTTTGCAGTGAGGCAAATTGATTAAAATTGAGTTTGCAGTGAGGCAAATTGATTGAAATTGAGTTTGCAGTGAGGCAAATTGATTGAAATTGAGTTTGCAGCGAGGCAAATTGTACATTTGTACATAAAGTAATTATGTGATTCGATTTTTTAAATTTAGATCAAACCTGTGTCACTTGTTTTTTACATCCACAATTTACATATTTTTATATAATTTCATATAGAATATGGTCACAAGAAAATACTGTATGTTTAATTTAGCTTTATGTCACATGTTTCATTGTGTTAAACTGTAAATTCCATAATTATTGTGGTTAATTTGAACAACTGAAATATTGTTAAAATGAAGGTGCTAAGATATCTTCTCGTGAACTGTATCAAAAGTTTTAATGTTAGTTTTTTGTACAATTTAGAACACATGATTCACATTTTTGTATTTTATACTTTGTATCTATAGTAATAGTTGATTCAGTTCTTCGCTTTGAATGTTTGTTTAGAATATCTCTAAATGTGCTTTTTTCAAATTGTGAATTCAAAGTGATATATTTCTCCCATGAGATCTGGCTCTACAATGCAAAACAAGATCTGTTCAAATTCATGAAATCTTTTTGATCTAAAATCTTTTTTTGGCTGAAAAATTCTTGTACGTGTATGTATTTCAGTAAAATATGCATAGTCAAATTACGATTATGTTTGAAAAAGTGACATTTGTGTCTAATTCTCCCTTTAAATACTTGCCATTATAGTTACTATTTGATCGATAGATACTATTTGTCTGAAATTAGAATAATCAGAAAATATTCTTGAAAATAATAGTTTAGTTCCATTTTAGTTATTTAGATGGCGCCAGTTTCAATAATAACTGCTTTTGGCGTTAAATGCCATAATTTGGTCAGTAAGCTGATCCATAAGTGTATTGAATTTTCCTCAGCAATGTTAATTTAACCATTTTCTCTATTTCGTAAAATATGAGAAACATCTTTGTGGTATTTTGTGCAGCATTTGGCATCTTATAACATTTGGCATCTGCTACAACATTTGGCATCTGCTACAACATTTGGCATCTCCATGTACTTCAACATTTGGAATCTATTGTACTATTGCATGTAGCTAAATGTATTGTATTGTCATATTACAGTAAATATGTAACATAATACATAAACCCTTGTATAATATATAATATAACGAAATATTTGCTTTATGTTCATTTTCTGTTTTCAACACTGAATATCTTAGTGATTCTTGGAATGTTAAAGGATCGCAGAATTTTTTTTTCTCAAGCTGTTCAAAATTTATTTAATTTCTATGTCAAATTATGTTTCAGAATGTGTGTATATTATGTCTATATTTACAACTTCTAAACACCATCAAAATAAATTAACATCAGATGGATATTAAGATCCTAAAATGACAAAAATGCAGCATTTAAGAGGGGCAATAAAAACTGTTTTAAAGCTGGCTATCTCTCATATTGCACACAGCATGTTATTTCCCCTAAAGATAAAGAATAAAGATGCGACTTTTAAATCAAGTACTTTCTGTTTTTCACTAATAAGACACCATTCAAGGAATTATTTTATGCTAAAACATCTGGTGGAAATTCTGAAGGTTACTACGACAAAACCAGATTGCTCAACTCTCCATATGGAATATTTTACACCGGATGTTTAACTCAGAACAGAATGGGTAATGATTTTTATCTTACCTAAAAAGTAAAGATATTGTCTACTTGACACATATGTGGTGGTGTCTCACTGTTCTTTCCTGTGCAATTTCAGACCAACTGATTGATGGACAGATTTGGAAAATGTTCATGTTACTTGGTACGGAAATCTAGGACTGAAATGTTTTTGTGTAAATTTGAATGTAGCCATTTTTGTTGATTTTTAGTGTGATATACATGTATTATCATGTTTGATATGAAAATTGAAAAAGTAAGATACCCCTAAAGCTGTATTTTTACATCAATAGTACAGAATATCCACTGTGTACTTAGAGAATGATGCTTCTAAATTCTTCTTATTTTATTGTGGAGCTTCTGTTAGTGACATTTGAAAATGAAACTAATTGAACAAAACTAATGGATCAGTCTACAATTCTCCTTGGGGATACAATGGTGCATGTGTATTATCTTCCTTTATAAAACAAATATAATTCACATATTTCTATAGGGAATTTATCTAGCTTGTTTTTCCTCGTAGACTACTATAATTTTCTGAAGATCGAAATATTGTGGAAAATGAAAGAATTGCAAAGAATAGCAATAATGAAAATGGATAAAAGGGGAGGGGGTATATTGGGAAAAAGAAACCTGTAATTGAAAGTGGAAAACATTGTAAAGAACAATTACATGAAAAGAATGAAATTTTATGGAAGGGCAATGGTTATTATAATGGAAGTCATCATGGAAAGTTCAGTCTTGCGCCTCAAGTCTTCGAGGGAGGGGGGGGGGCTAATGGGAAAACAGAAACAGAAATTTGGAATAGACAGCATTTGAAGGAGGAAGTCCATGAAAAATGATCTTACTGAATGGCATGAATTAATAATAGAAGTATTTTTATTATGGAAAGTTTAGTTTTACATCAAGATCTCTGAACCTTCTCCCGTCTCCTGCCCTGTTTACTTCAACTCAAGCTCATAGAGTTGAGGTGTGTTGTAGGTGACAATCAGGGCTTCTGACAACATTTTGATGAAGTCCTCTTATGGGTTTTCATTTTGAAAATAGTCTTTTTCATAATAACATTGATTATTATGTCTCCAACATTTTTGTGGATGGTGTTCACTTTTTGACGTTTGACAGTCAACATTCTGCGGTCATTGCCTGTAACAAATGGCACCCAGGTGGTGACGGTTTGCATGTTAATGCTTTGTTTTATAATGGGTTGGGCAGATATAGCTAAGGCTTATGTAACATATTCTTGAAGGGTCCTTGGTCCACTTGAAAACAGAGAGCAAGATTGAAATTGATTTTAAATATCAGAGGTCTGGAATTCCTTATCCCTTGCAAAATATTCATTTCAGATTTTTATTTTCTTTATTTTATGTGGTTGTCCATATATTAATATTAATATAACTCTTACCATCAAAATTATAGATAATCTACAAGAACAGACAAGTTCCATGATCTGATTAGGTTTTCGGCATGCTGGGTAAATCACATCGCGCTTATTCTTATGATTACCTATAGGCTGAGACCATGCATTGATAACACATTGGGGTTAACTTTGAAGCCGCCCAGATGTTTTACATGAACTGGCTATAGAGGTAAAAAATAACAAGGCCTTTCCAGATGGTTTCTATGGCAATCACAAAAACATTTGTTTAACACATTTCCAGCTTTCCTTGATCACTAAAACATTAGTTGAAATTGTTTGATTCCAATGTTAGTCTGTCAATCTAACTAAAGTCAGTTGATTTTCTTGTTTTTGCAATCCTGGCTCAACACTTGATACCCTGTGGCCAGTACCAATAAGATGAAGCTCTTAAAAAGGTGCAAAATATAATTCTTGAAAAGGGTACTTTGGTCTCAGATTCATTATGCATTTTCATGTAAAGTAAACCTGTCTCATCTGAACACCACTGTGACTGGCTAGAAATGTTGGGATTGGCAGGTGTTTACATTTCAAATTTATTTTTGCAGGTGTTCAATTTTTATCATGAAAGTCTATGGTAGATTATTGGACCAATAAAGTGTTCACTATGAGAGGTGTTCAATATAGAGAGTGTTCAGGTTTCACTGCAAAGCATATATGACAACTCAAAGCAAATTTGATAAGATATTTTTATTTTGTTAAAAGATTCTTTACACTTATTTGTTAACAAGTAAACATAGTTTTCAACTTGTAGGAGTATCATGACCTTCAGAGGCCAGTCAAATATGTTGGGTTATATACTAACTTACCAACATATTGTCATACATGATATCTCACTCAATAAAGTTAAAATCTATGTTCATCAATATAATACAAATAAATGAAAGTTATAGTATAAACAAAGTATAGTAATTCCTTAAATATAACACCAGCTAAAAATGCATGTTTATTTATTTAAGCTGAAGTATCATAGAGAACCTTGTGCCTATTTACTGAATTTTAAAAATGAAGTTGTGCTGTGCTTACAACTCAAATATATTTTCATTAAGTACTAAAAGGGGTTTAATATTCTCCAATATAATGCAAGCTTTGTACTGCATTAATTTCATCATTATGTTATATTTATATATCGCCCATGGGCATTTATCTTGATGAAAATTATAATTTTTTGCCCAAGTCAAGTTTCTCCATCAATGATTTAGCCAAATAGATAGCCAATAACTATTGACTTCATTTTCACAGTTGCTATCAAGAAAATGTTTGCACAAATATTTTTCGTAAAATTTAGGCGAGGCATGAGCCTCATGCATGGTTATGCAAAAGTTAATGTAAACTTTTTTCTACATTTTGTTTTATGTTTTTTTTTTGTTTATAAAGTTTTTTTCTGGTTTATCCAATCACAAATGTCATCTGTGGTAAAGCCAAACGGTCCAGGTTCCCCAATAAACTGAACAATACCATGTTGTATGATGACGAGTCTTTCAGGTAAAGCTCCGTAATGCCATATCGCTTGGTTCTCCATTGAGTCTACATATATCGGACATGGAACGTGCTCTTTTAAATGTTGAGCAGCATTTATGCGGTCTTCAAGTGATCTGTGTTGTTGAATTTTAACTTTGTCATTATACGCCCACCCATCAGTCGCATGAACTTCCATTATGTAAACGAATATGAAATCAGCAAAATCACAATGCCGTTCAATCATATCCACGATATCGCCCATATGAGCCATCATTGCGTTTCAGGAAGCGCTTCCAAATATCATCACCAGGGGTTTCAAGGTCATTAAATCATGCAGACGACACACAGATTTATCTGATAATTTTGTCAAGGTCAAATCCGGAGCTTCACAAGAGATTTTTGCAGTTTGAAACTCCAGTTGTCTTAACCATAAATA